GCGGGCAGGAAGCCATGGATGGAAAGACGGCAAGAACTTTAAAAGTCAATCTTTCCTTTGATCTCGATTTTATGAAAGAGGGGAATGGTGCAGACGAACATGCGGGAGGACTTGGCACTAAGGAACCGCGTGGGCAGGTGGGCCACAAACTCACAAAGTCCAGGCTTTTGTCTCAGCCAGCCAATAAGCGACGGCGCTGCGCCTCCAGAACGTTTCCTTCCAAACAAAAAAGGGCTCCACCACGATTACTGAACAGGCCACGCTAGTGGACTTGGGACGCTCCTGCCGCGTTCCTAGCACTGTAAGAGGCAGGTGGTCGAGAAGCCGTCAAGGTACCACGGGCGCAAAGGGCATCTGGTTTGGCTGGCCGGTGTTACGGCAAGGGCGTAGCGACCGTGGTGCTGCTACCCAAGTGGCTCCTTCCGCAAATGAGATGCACAGTGCAGGAATAACAGGCACAACGTGAAGAGTGGAGAGTGGAGAAGATGGAGGGAACTGGCACGCACCAGCCCGAGGTGCAGTGCGTTGGTGCGGCCGCTTGGGTTGGTTCAATTGGTGCCAGTCCAGGGCCCTTCGACTCTCTCAAAGAATGGCCAATTCCTCTCCCTGGGTCCCAACTTCCAGGTTCCTCCGCCACTACTGCAGCAACAACACTTCAGCAGCAGCAACAACCAACAACGCCTTCCATTTCGACGTCGTCGCTCCCTTTCTTCCAAGTCGCCAGCACGTTGACCACGCACGCAATCCACGTCAACGTTCCTGCGGCCCGACGACTTCAGTTTCTCTTTCCATTTTCGCTGCTTTTTTTTTTTGCTCCACGCGACTCGTTCAGACTTCTTCAAGCAACGACCCCATCAGAGATGCCGGCTTGATCTGTTGTTGAACCCTTCGATTCTTTACCCGAGCTAGCCTCCCAGTCACTCGTTTTCTTCACCCGCCGTCACCACCAACTCACCACTCGCCACTCGCCATCCACCTCTCATCACCGATTCACTTTGACGACTCGCTTTATTGGACTCATCGCGACTCGACGACAATCACATTACCTTCGCGCAACCCTTGGTCGAGCCACCTCATACCCCCTTGGTTCGACATCAGCCCTCACTTACGTCGTCAACACTGCGAACGTACAGCAACGAACCAGCTGCCTCGTCCGCAATAAATAAAACCTTCAACCTCGGCTCTCATTTCGATTATCTGAAGAGTCAGGTTCACAAATTCGATCAGCAGATCTACGAGAGTTATCGGTCCATGCTCGATTAATTGGTTATCGTACACGCGGATTCAAGAAGCCAACCACCTTACGTTGACATCTTCTAGTCAACGCCAAGTGACATAGATCAAAATGGCTGTCGTAGCGTTGTCACCAAATGGTATGTCTCCCGCAAAAGGAATAAGTGGCAGAGGAGTTAGGATCTAACCTATCTTGACAGTGGTGAGCAACCTCTTCAAGCGTGATGAGACTTGTATTCTGTGCGACGACAGGCTACCACTTTCTTGCCCAACCTGTCCGGACGGTACTGAGTGCATAAGACTCCTCGCAAGTTGCACAGCGTGTGCTCGTATGGTCTGTCAAGAGCTTGAAGAAAACTCGGGAGGTGCATACTCGCCTTCAGGTGGTGGGAACTCAGCAGGCAGTTCCACAAACGTTGGTGCCATTGCAGGCGGTGTTGTCGGCGGCGTAGCTGTGATTGCAATCCTCACATACCTGGTTTGGAGATATTGCATCAAGTCGAGGAGACAGGCAGCTGCTGTGCCGGAGGAGTGGGATGGAGTGCAGGCTCAAGACGATGGCCCCGAGAAGTCTTTTGCCCAGCGGCGTGACAACCGGTCCTCAACACATACCGTCCACTCGATCGCATCCACCGTTTTCACCCGAGCATCCAACATCATTCAAATTGCCTATATCCCGGGAGTTACGAACCGGACCCCGACATCTCCGGCGGTCCTCGTTCCCCCCGTACCTCCAATTCCCATCGGCCACGGCGGCAGTCCCTCTACTGCTGGAGACCAGCACTTCTTTGTTCCCGGCGATCTGCGCGACTCCACATATTCCGGCATATCGGCCTTCACGGACCGGACTTCATACGCCCGGACGTCATATGCGCCGCGGTCTAGCGTGGCGTCTACCATCTATGGCAAGAATGTTGTCATTACACCTGCTCAAACAGGTATGCGAGCGAGGCCAGCTATGGTCAGTGTCAAGTCGTCTTCCTCGAATAATTCTGGCGGCAGCGCAACACCGCCTGTGCCGAGCGTGAATTACGAGAAATATACCGGGTTCCGTCCTCCGAGTCCTACAAACAGCAGGAACAGCACATTCAGCGTGGGATCCACCTTCTTGAACACCGCCACGCCTGCTCGTGCTATGGTTGTTCGCGTAGGGAGTGTCAAGAAGGTGAATACTGTCAAGCCCAAGACGCCCGACTCATCGGCAACATCGCCCAGCACTTCCTCGTCGGCGGGACGGGACTCCAACATGGGGACGATTATCATTGATTCGCCCGCCGTGGATCAAGGGCCTTTTGCGGATCCCGCCTCACCTCCGGCGAACCGATCATCAACGCACAGCATAGCAACGTTGAGCGCAGTAATCGAGAACTCAACGAGGAGACCCTCAGACCGAACATCTGATTCTCCTGGCTCTAAGAACCGGGAAAAGAGCCCATTTAGCGACGAACATGCGACTCAAGATTAAGTGACGACTATATACGCGGAAATTTCGTTTTCCTACTTCTCATTTGTCCTTTGATTTTGCTTACGATATCCCCTGGTCGCTTTGGGAGGGGTGTTCTCCCAAATTTCTTTGTATCTGAAGTTCGGCTTTTCTTGTCATTTACCGTTTTTTTTTCTCGGCTTGGATATTTGGGAGGGGGGTGGTGTTACTGAAACTGGACAACACGCAAATTCTCACGTCGTGCTGCAGGGCCTGGAGAACTGGAGATGAGGCGATTCGATTCTTTGTTCGGGGCCTCATAACGGTTCATTTTGTCTCAAGGGGTTTTACGGTTTTTTTAGAGGCTGGCATGCTTTCTACGATATGAAGGGGTGGGGTTTCAAAAATTTATCTGGGCTGATTATAGGCCTCGTGGATATGATCTGTCTATCTACTGGATAGGGATGAAAAAGAATCCCTGGTTCGGTGACAATGGCTATATCATGCGAGTAAGCTCAAAGTTATGGTTTGGATGTATCGAGTGCTCGATGAAGCTTTAGCGATACGTTCATGGCGCGGCAACAGTACAATAAACGAGTTACCACGCACACAGCCTTTCGGTTTTGGCATCTTCATCCCGTGCTGCCTTCTATCCAGCTGATTGTCGTTGACTCTTCTTGATGGGTAACTGTTTTCACGGTTTGCTCGAGCATGCTTTGAACATCCATGTCCTGCGGTCAAACAAAAGCTCCTTCGGTGGGTGCCTAAACTGCCCGTAGATCGCATATTATATCTGAAACGGATTGAGCATGATGATGACGCAAGTCGACATGATCGATATCGTCGTAGGTCAGACCTAAACAGGATTTCCCGTTGGCTTCTGGGTCGAGGAATGTTCCCATCTCTCGCTCAACGCATTTAAAGTCCTCAAGATTCTGCAAATCGGTTGAATCCTTGCGATTGTTGGCTCTCCAGGACTTGATTTATTGTGGTATATTGGTCCATACAACCATTCGATTTGGGCTTTCTATTCACTTGCAACCCGCCAGATGGCAATGCTTCGTTCGCATAGCACCTTCCATTCTCAACGTCACTAAGCAAATGCTCACGTGCGTTCTCAACACATGGGTGCCACGAGTCCCTGGTTGCCACGAGTTTGTTAGGCTAGCCATAACACCGTTGAGTAAGGTAGGTACGAATGGGGTTGTCCCGTTTCAGACGGAAGTCGTAACCACGTGGGTTCTCAAGCCCGGTCAATTGTGTGAGTAGTGACTTCCAGTTTATTGAAGCTTACTTTCCACATGTACTGTAGTCCATTGCCCAAGATGCGGAGACTTTGGAGAAAGTGCTCCAAGGAGGAAAGCTGCCGTCGTGGACCTCGTCATAGCGGCGAAGATGAATTCAAACTTTTCGGTCAGAAGAGGAAGGAAGAAGTCAGCTGGGGTGTGTGTCTTGCTCGATTGAGTGTGGTTGTCAAGACCTTCCCGCTTACTGACAGAGTGGCTGGAGGTGGTGGTCTTGGGGCAGGCACGATCGAGGCGAGATGCTCAAAGAACTCTGTGGTGAAGGGGTGAGGCACAAAGAGGTCGACTTTTTAGCCTGAGTTTCGAGTCTCATTGTTAGCCCAGAACATGGTGTTTGCTTCTCTGACTCTACATATCGGTTTTCAAATTCTTTGCTACGTCTGGTCTCGCGACGATGACTTGATGTACATCAGAACACAGATGTAGAAGTCGCCCACGACACTTCCACAACACGACTGACAGAGCAATCATTCAAGATCTCCAACCTGAATTCAAAGACTCGAAAGTAACTTCCAAAACGCCAACGTTCGGTTTCACAGCAGTCAAAGTTTTCGATGCCTTCGTGTTCATTCATCCATCCATCGTCCACTCTTCCATGAGACTCGTAGCGTTCATACCTTGCGCATGGCCCTGGCCCATGACTAAGATGGGCATGCAATGCAGATATACAAGGTGAAAAATCATTTGACAATAATGAAAGGTCCCTCAAGGAACTTCAGGGTCTTGAAACGATTCAATACTTAAGACTTTAAGAGTGTCTTCCATCGAGAACATCCGTCACATCCTCAAAGTTTGCTTTCGGTAACCTCGGACCCCGTAGATAGACAAACAGGGATATGCCTAGTTGGAGAATGAGTAGGAACTGGATGCGATTCGAACCAGAATTGCTATGGGAGCCACAGAAGGGAGCATGTCCACAGTGTCGTCGTTCGGGCTTCATTTATTTTACTATAGTTTGTGTGAACAGGAGAGGCAAAGGGCGAGTCAGTCGATGTTACCCTATAAGTTTTCAGTTCGCTGACATATACAATAAAACAACTGGTCCGATGGTGTAGTTGGTTATCACGTCAGTCTAACACACTGAAGGTCCCCAGATCGAGCCTGGGTCGGATCATCTGAAATATCCTTTTTGCCGATTTTTTATTGCTTCCTCTTTTCGAAATGTGCCGTTTCTTCATCGTCGTGTTTTCTTTTCTTTTTTGTGATAACTTGAACACTGGACGAGGTCCAGGTCGCTCTTGGGCCAACGTAGAGTTACGAGTGTCGTAAGAATGGCAAGCATTCTTAAATCTGGATCAGTCGTGTATTGAACTTAGAGAACGAAACTCGAGATGTTCACAAAATTTATACGCTTGAAGAAAATAAAAGATCTCGAGAGTAGCCTGATACACATGATAGGAAACCACCCCTTCATTCCAGTTGTTGCGGAGACTAAGAGCCGAGTGGATTCGATGCGGGTTTCTGCCCTCTGCTTCGCGAACCTCGACTCTGGCCATCTTCCCGTCAGAGAATTGAGTATCATGCCCCTTGATATTCGCAAGGACCTAACGGCTCTAGGATTTGTATTTCTGACAGCACCATGCATTAGTTTCGTCCTCTGTTCGGTCTTGTATCTGTTTCATTCGACCTCTGCGTACGATCATTGCCTAGCCTCTCTCCTAGGTCGCCATTCAGAAGGTGCGATGGACATTCCTTCCTATGGATGTGCCCGTTCAAGGGGCGGCTCAAGAAGTTCTCACTCCCAGCATTGTACCTTTTTACATACACTAGCAACATTCATATCGCATCTAGGTAACTGCGAGTGGCTGTCAGCCGTTCTTTCTTCGACCACAAGCCCTTAAGATGCTCATATTTGTTGCAATTTTATCGAGCCCTCTGTCAAATCTTCAAAATATTCACGACACTTTCATAATATGTGAGCACTGGGCCAGATGTCGCATATAGGTACAAGAAGCACAGCAAATACCACGTGAGCGATGCAAAAGAACGAGACAGAACACTTCGACTGTGTCAACGACATCAGTTTGCTTAGTATTCGCCTCATCTGGATCCCATACCCACCGAAGTTATGACAAGCGCACGAATGATAGACGTGCTTCTAGATACAGCTTTGACTTTGGCTTCGGACAAGAACATCTAGAAGAACGCCCACCTGGGCGCCACTTTGATTCATCACAAACTGTGGACGGGGCGGGCTCTAAGAATACATCTACATGACGGTTAACTTTCCAGAAAACGAACATTCTCTCTGTTAGCGTAGAAGGAGGCGTTTTGTTCTGTTTCTAGACTCGAACTATACTTAGCCACCAGATGACTGTCGTTGCTTTTTGCCGTGCCGTCTGCTCTTGAGTTCTTCTGTTCTTCTTTTCCCTCTTCCGTCTCATCACACACACTCTCTCCTTCTGAGTTCCCTTCGTAATCGGATACACAAGATAGCTTTCTTGATAGGCAGCTAGCTCTCTATGGTAAATGCTTGGAAGATATCATATCTCACTTACACCGGACCACGCCGCCGGCCGGAGAAGAAATGACACTGAGGAAATAGTACTGACACCGGAAGGGAAGGATACTTCCCGTCTGCTTCCGCGAGACATCAAGTTTACGATCTCTTTACTCACCTACTAATGCATATCTCTATATCCGTTCAAACAATCTCTGCGAAAGCCGAGGATCCATATTGTACCATGCCCAAAACAGTCTGAGGCTACGGAGGTGTCTAACGTAACGTAGACACGGAGGTAAACGCAACAAGGTCATCTTGTTGCTCACCCACTGTTCTCAAGCAACGTTGATCACACACACCACTAACACACTCTCGCAAGAACCCAGCAGCCAGTGTCTCGTAGTCCCTTTCCTTACCTTGCGAGCGAGCTAGCCATACCGATAACCTGGAACCCTTCTTCCCTGCCGCCCCATTGAGATAAACCACCTAACACTCGGAGATTCCATTCAACCCGGGTTGAGTAGGTTTGCAAGCGTCGCCGGCGGTAGGGTCCAACTTGCGAGCGAGAGGTCCATGTCCGGCAGTGAATTCCCAAGTCCACGGCAAGCAAACTTCCTACCCCGAGCCCTTGTGTCGGGACCGGACTAAAACCCGCCAGCCAACAAGGAATTCTACTCCAGACGAGAGAGAGAGAGGAGATTGGACATCACCAACAAGCCAAGTGGGAAACGAGAGAGAAAAAAAAAAAAAAAAAAAAAAGCAAAGAAAAAAGTGAGACAAGGGTACAAAAGGCGTGCGAGCTAAGCTAGTTGTGATTACGGTGATTACGGTACCATGTGCGTGGGTTTGGGATTTTGAGATGACAAAAACGCTCAGGGGGTTTTGTGATCAAGTTGTCCTTTTCCCTTGCCCTTGCCTTGCTATCGTGTGTTTTTTGGTCCTGGTTCTCTTGGATCCCCTTGGTCTTTTGGTCCGGTCTCGGGAATGAACAATGGATAACGATGGATGAAAGCTGGGTGAGGTAGGGGATGGGTGTGGAGATGGAAGATGTTGTTGAGATGGAGAATGGGGAACGACCGATGCGAAACCTCGAGGGTTGGGTTGAACTTGAACAGGGCATGGAGTCTTGGGAGAGAGAGGTGAATGGGTGTCCTCAACCCACGCCCACGTGGGGGGTGAGGATTAGGGATTTTGGATTTGGTGTGGTGGGTAAGTTGAAGTAGAGAATGTACCTGCCTTTAAAGGTACTTCTGGGACGAGGTATCATTTTCGAGACCCTCAGCTGGGTATTCTCGGGTTTTCTTTGGTAGTACTGTATTCTTTGTCCAGCAAACAGATCCTTCTGCATGTGGGTTGTGTCAAAGTGGGCTGGTGGGTAACAACATCATGAGGATCAGATAGATTTTTCCCCCCCCTTTCTCAACCCCGTATATCGGAGCAGGAATAACAGTTGGGTTGCGGTCCAGGCGGAGTGCTAACACCGCAAAAGTCATTACACTGGGGCGCTTTCCCTGGGCTCCTTCCCCTTTGTCGATGGACAAGTAGATCCATCTTTGCTCCCATCAATTACAGAGACGTGAAGAGAAGAAATCTTCGGAGTTGCTCTCCACGACCCACGGAAGACCATCCCAGACAACGTAACAGGCGGAGTATCTCGAGCATCTCGATGGAACCTTACCTCTACACAAAAACCCACAGTTAAACGGCGAGCAAAAGAGGCCAGACCAGTCTGGCGTCTGTTGGCATGGTGGTAAAGAGGGTCCAGGCGGATCCTAGTGTCACTTCCTTTGGAGCAGTCCTGGGGATTTTGCGAGAGAAAACAGATGGAGGAATATGCCGGAAAGCCGAGCCCAACCACTAAAGTTTGAATCCGACCCGGATATACCCATGGAAGCGACCGGGAGAAGATGAAGTCCGTCCCGAGGGATCGATCTCGGCTAGATGAGGAGGATGAAGGAAGAACGTGAAAATGTCGGGGAAGGTTCTGTTGGGTCTTTACGTTAGACCTTTGTCGAGTTGGTAAGCAGTGCAGGGCAGGGTAAGTTATTGTGTTGTCTGACGAGATATTTTCTCGCATCTGAACACATCCAACTACTCCTCGAAACTCAACACATGAGATGTTCCAGACACACACTCGACGAGCACGTGGACATGCCACATGAAGATAACAAAGGGAAGATCTTTCCTTCTTTTTGCTAGAGCCCTAGGACTACTGTACCATGAGCCCCAGTGTACGTAGCTGAAGTAGTGTACTTTTGGAATATCCATTCCCACTTAGTCGTAGGGTAGGGGTTAGTCTTTTCCCGGGCCGGTGGTCTGGTAAAGAACGTGACATTCCCAGAGACTCCATCCAGTCCGAGAAAAAGACGAGACGAGACGAGAAAAAAAAAGTTTTGCGGCCAAGAGCACTACTCTAGCGGCATTTACCAAGAAGGACCACATGCAATGCCGCGAAGCTAAATGCCGCGTGTGCCCAACCTAATGCGACAAGACCCCGAAGACTTTATTCGGAGCAAAGCCATTCATGCGAACCGTTATGCCGAACGGAGCTTGACGACGACGACGTATGGTCCGTCTCGGCAATAGGTGGACGGTATATAGCGCAGCAGCTGAGAGCATGACTATGCAAGTGGGTAGCATAGGCGAGTGTCATGCTGTTTAGGTAGGTAGAAGAAGGCGGTCAGTAACAGACAGAGTTGATGTTACTCTGGCAAAGGTCAGCCGCATATTTTGTGAGACCACGGTCGTCCACGAGTGTCGAGTAAACTGGAGAAAGAGAGAAGTCGAGAAGAGTCTGGCTCGAGGGGACTACTGTAGAGATCGACTGGTGCGTACATAGTACGACTCAGGTCAGCTCCTCAGCTTCCCCATATTAGTCAACTGTTTGGAGTCTCATTGGGTGTCCCGAGCAGCTGGATGAGAGACCCTGGAGAAGGTTTGAAGACTACTGTCGACTAACAGCTCAAACCCAGGGTTCTCCTCACGACCTCTGGGTAACTGTTCAGCCGTCGCGTATCTGATAATCCTTGAGAAACGCATGGAGGGCCCGAAACTTCCCACGGCATCTTTTCGCATTTCGTAAGGTATGTTGATGATTGCCGTCGAATATGCCGGCTTTGTCTCATGACATGATGAGAAAAGTGTAAGGGGTGGGGACCACTTATTCTCTGCTGAGAAAGATGAGACTGCTTTTGCGTTTCCTTCGCTTGCTCATGACCTTCCGCATTGCGGTAGTATGAGAAAGTATGGTAAACAACTCGCGCCCCTCTCTTCTCAGGGATGAATGTAAGATAGTGGTCCCTTGTCGAATTCCAATCTTTTCGATTGTCCGCTGGGGACGAGATTTTGAGGTTATGCATCACAGAATTTCGTGCTCGTTATTTTGGACATTCTGGGTTTGGGCTTATCAGATCTTGCGAGTCTGCGCACCCCCCTTGTGTCGTCTTTTTGGCGGCTTTACCCGCTCAGTAAGTCGGCTTGGCTATGGCTTGGCTTTTCGGTAGTGTTGGGTAGCGAGCTGCCTTTCATCAATCATCATCACTGCTGGGCCGGCCGTGGTCGAAATGGTGTGCGGCCTGGAGAGGCACCCCTAGCGTGATTTTCTCTTACCTTTTTCCAATTCTCAAACCCTCGTCTTTGCCTTTCCCCCCCCTTTCGCCCCCCCTTCACAT